ATTGTTGTTGTAGCTGTACTTTGGCATCACTACCACCACAGGAGGAACAAAAAACGGCTTTGTGAAGTTTATTGTCTGAAGTGTGAAATAAACGGTATATATGTGAATCATTTAACTTATGATACCTGATCAAATTTGAGACTGCAAGTATTTTGGAATGCGTGCAGTTGAGTTTCAGTTTTGTCATGTTTATCTAAGTAAGCGAGTTTAAGTGTACGATCAACTGCCAAAAACTATACAAAATGCTCTTTTTTGTAACTTAAATGTACCTTATTAAAGTGAAATGAACACATCCGAATGCCTTAACGTTTACTACATCAGTAAAAGTAGGTGAGAACAACAAGGCGAACAATGTAACTAATCGCAAGTAGGCATATTTCTTTTTTTCCTTATCATTAGCGATGCCTGGATAAGGTGACTAATCAGCCTGATCGGTATATAATTTTGTGCACCGACAAATGTTCAGAAAATGTCTTTTTCTTTCTTTTAGCTGAAAATCTGGAAAGAAGTCCTAAAAGCAACATGAAAAACTATATGTTCTTCAATAAAAATATTAATTCTTGGTTTTTATCAAAAAATCTAACTACAATCCTGGTCAAAAGTCCATGGGACACTTGACAAAATGCCACCTGTGACACATTATTTTTAAGTGGGAAGTCATCAATCAATTTGCAGAACCCCCGCTCCCCCAAAACAATGTTGGAATAGTGGGTATACTTTGGATGAATTAACATTGTGTTGGGGGTGGGGAGTAGGTGGTGGACAGAAAGACTCTATGTTGGCAAAAGTGCATTGTCCCAAGACTTTTGACCAGGATTGTAGCTTGGTTTTCTATGCCCCTTTGTCTCTTAAATATCCCGGAATTGGTTGAAAACCATCAATAGTTGTTGTTTCGTGCCTTGCTTAGGTGAGGAGATCTCGGGTGAACACTTTTACCTCATGGTCAAATGTTTCCGGATGACACAATAATAACTTTTCATTATGCATACAGTCCGTTTTCCCAAGAAACTAATTACAACCTAATTACACCAAAAGCGGAGTCAGCTTTTTAATTCTCCTTTAAAGAGAAAATGATAGCCTTTTTCAACATGTCAAGGATCTCAAAGAAGGCATAATTTGCGAAATCTTCCGAAATACAGCTTCAGGTAGCTAAAAACCGCTTCCAACACTTTACAGCAGTTCTACTTTGACGGATAAATACAACCACAGTTTACTGATCTCTTAACACAACTGAATTTGACTTTATTGTTTTCAAAATGGTTTCCACATATGCATTTTACTTCTATTTTCTCGTGCATTTTAATATTTTGAGCGCTAATTTACCAGGAATGCTATGTAAAGTTCAGTAATAAACTCCACTTTACCGCTTGCATAAATAGATATTATCTTACTTGGCAGAATGCGTGGTTATCTTGACGAGATCGTGAGCTAGTGCTATTAAAAACAACACTATTGGTCAAGGTAAAGTTCTCAAGTCTCAAATCGATGAATGCCATCCAGTTCTGCAAAATTAGATCAATAAAGAAGAATCAAGATATAAAAACACGAGAAAGAAGCAAAAATAAATTTTATTTACGTAGAGACCATCATCAGTCAAATTTTACCCCATCAAATAACAAATCACCGTCGTTCCGTTTTTCAGGATGCCAAGGGTATTTCGATGCTTTGAATAGAACAGTTTCGAATTGAGTGTCATGAAACCATAACCAAACCAACTACTTACCAATGAGTCTACTCAGCCAATTTCAAAACGTAGTAAAATCAAAACCAAAGTAACTATTGCCTGATTACTTTCGACACTCAATTTATCATCATTAAATATAATTTATACGGTTTTTTTTATTGTAACACAAAGCCAAGATTCTATTAACTCACTACTTTAATGTTTTTATGAGTCCCATCAAGAATCTTGGTTTCTCTGAGACATATTTTGAAGCTGTCT